TTTGCAATTAAAAAAATTAAAAATTAAATTCCGGCCAAAATTTATGTATAATGCGGGCCAGAATTTTGTCGATCACAGCCGTTGGCCAATCAAAATCGAGGATCAACCGTGGCACCTATGAATCCCGCGCGGGATGCGAATCACGCGCGGGATTTTTGGAAAAACCGCGATTTGCCCATCTCTACCTAACACGTGTAAAACATATAAATTAGTTACCCGGGCAATCGATTCAATCAGTGAAAATTTGACACAATTCGTGTATGACGTAACATTTGTTTTCTCAAAAACTTATCTTATCTCAGCAACCATATCAAACATGTCAATACTCACCTCTACAGCAACAGAAGACAAAAATGTGCCCACGTTGACCGAAGCCGTAAAAGAGTTGAAACCAAACGACCTTATCGAATTTTTACGGAGGGAGAAAGACTTACAGCTTGACGAGGATGACTTATTTTCAAGCCGGAAACCTTACGTTGGTGAACCGGATTTTACATGTTACCACAATAATGATTTGGTCATGGTTTTTGAAGTTAAGAGAAAGCATATTTTGAAAGAAATGGGTGAAAGGACATTACCAGAGCTTTACATAACAAACGATAAAGCCAAGATGGTGATCCGACAAATATATGGTTATATGGTAAAAAATCGGCTTCAATATGGTATAATTACTACATATGATGACCACTGGTTCTATACCGTTCGAACGATCACCCGGAAGTGCAAAAACACTTTCATTACAATCAAAAGCCCCTCCGGTACTAAAGGCTTATGCTTATATGGCACTGCAGGCAAAGAATAATATTATCCCTCAAACCCCTTAAATCCAAAACAGTAATTTATTCTACTAATAAAATTGTATTGATCGTGTTTACTTTTTGCATATTTATTTCGGAATTTTATCCTTTGAAAGAATAACTTACAGTAGTTTGTCAGATTGCAGCGATTGCTTTTCATTTTGAAGAATCGAAGAAAATAAATCACTTACTAAAACAATTAATATTTTATAAATATTATTACATATCATGAGACGATTACATAATTTTCGAAACTTTTTGTGTGGCTCAATTACTAATTATGTTAATGCGGGCCAGATATTAATCTAATGCTGCCAGATGATATGCTAATGCCGGCCAGATAATTTTATTTTGGGGTCATATTAAAAATCCCGTGCATCATGCGCGTGATCCTGCGCGGGATTACGCGCAGATCCCGCACGTAATATGTGATTTGTTGTACAACAATCTGATTGTTATCTGTTATAAAAAGGTGGATGTATATACAATTACTGTATTTTCCATTAAAAAGATTTTTCAAACTATGTCAATTTAATACACAAATTGATCATTTAACGTTCTGAATGTGTATACTACTGCAAAACAGAGTTTCGAGTATAAAGTAAAAAAATAAGGTTAATTTTTTTCTATATCTTTGTAGCTCTTGATCTCTAGTAAAATTTACAGTCACGCATATCCCTACTGTTGTTAGGCCATCCTGTCCTGCGTTCAGATGTTTGAAGGCAGTTTATTGGGCTGTTTTTAGATATACATGTTTAATGCCCGAGTTCCAGTATGCTGTTTTCCAGGATGCGCTCACTATATCTACTGTTGTTAGGCCATCCTGTTCTGTATTCAGATGTATGAAGGCAGTCTATTGGGTTGTTTTTAAACATACATGTTTAAGGCCTGAATCCCAGTATGCTGTTTTCCAGTGTACAGTTGACTATAAATGTTATCATGGCTCTTTTACCAAAACAGATAATGATTAATAATTTGCATTTAAAATTTTTTTAGATGTTTTAATCTGTGGTGACAGAATATCTTGAAACAATATTTAATAAAAATTAGTCATTTTTTTTGGAATTCTAAAATTTGCGCAATCGAAATCAAACATCAAATTATCTGTAGCCACAATTGATGATTTCAAAGATGATTTGTATAAAGTATTAAAAAAATAACAAGACAAGTGTAATATTCATATAAATGCCAAAAACAAGACATCAAAGATTTTATCGAATTTTGATTTATCATTTTCCACTGCCGAGGTGAAGCAATTCATTAAGAATCTTAAATATTATGAGGAAGTGCAAATAAATGTAACATCAACTTACACTGCCACAGTATTAAGGGTAAATTTTATAAAAATTCAAAATCAATATTCACAATAGACAAATAGGCTTACCAAATTTTTAAGATCAACAAGAAAACCAAATATTTATTGATCAATTACAAGAAAAAGGAAAGAAGCATAAAAAAATTACTAGACCACTTGATAAGAAAGATGATAACCATTTGTACAAACATCAATGTCAAGATGAAGGACTATTAGATTTGATCGAGGTATTTATATTTGCTTTAATTTTTAGCAAAATAAAAAAAAGTTTTCTTATATAAATTTTGTAAATATATACATAGGTTTTAGATGATGAAGAACTCTTCGTTGAATGGAAGTTTGATACACTAAAACCAAATTGGCTAGATAAAATAGTACATGAGCATGATTCATTAATTTACATTGCCTTTAATTGTAATAATAAAATGACTTAATATAAATTGTTATTAAAGTAAATGCTTGTTATATATTGATTTGTTTGTTATTTGTGGTTTTTAGATTCTAATATTTTTTTTAGTCCAATCTGGTGGAGAATTGAATTATCGATTTATCTGATCTAATGATCACAACCCTTATACAGTATTAAAAAATGAGTTGTTAGAGCTGAATACAAAGTTTTCATCTCTTTTAGAAAACTGGACCACATTAGAACCCAAGACCAAAAGATGCTTACAATCTCTCAAAAAGGTAAATGATAAAATCAAATGTTGATTCATCTAAGATTGGTGCTTATTTTATAACAAAATTTGGGATAAGTTATTCAATAAAACTATATAGTATGATCTCAAACTATAATAAAAATATATATAAATTTGTACCACTTTTTATATGTAAATAGTGCCAATTATTCATAGATCATGACTTATATATTTTAATTCTTTATTTGAAATTTATTAACACATACATTGATTTTCAGCTTGACAACAATCAACTTCACACTATTAGTGAAATTGTTAGACCAAAAGAAACATACGAAGCAATTTTTGAACTTAGAAATTATTGAAAAATAAAAAGGAACAAAATGTTTCAGAATTGGACAATCTGTTTGAAGATGAAAATGATTTCAATAAAGAAGATAATGGAAATCATAAAAAAATTTTATCACTGATTCTTAAAGATCATACAAATCTAGATGTTGCTTTTATTTTTGATTTAATTCAATATATATAAGTTCAATAATTTAGTAATAAATTGCATCTGCAATTTAATAAGCTTTATGTTATATAATTTTGCCCAAATGTGAAATGATTGCAAAAAGAATTACTTAAAGACCTAATTCTGAACGAGATATTGACATCTTTATAAAGAGATATATATTCTCTTGTTTCGATATGATTATAGACAGCTATTTGTAAGTTTTATTGATTTTTTTTTAAAAAATTTTATTATTAGCAATAATGTTTACTCTTTTTCTTAACTAAGTGGTAAGGCGATATCAAGAGCATCTAGAAATCATCAGGCAGAGGCGATAGATGTATCAAGTAATGCCAAAAGTTATCATTTGGATTGGATGTTCATAGTATAGGTATAATAAATCTTTAAAAACCTTTATTATATGTATTTACTAAATTTAATTATTTACAGAGGCATGATCTTAGTAGAGAATTATGTTGGGGTAGAGAATTTTCTCTTTGTAAATGCACTGGTTCAAAAACAGAAGATATGCCTAAAATTCTCTCAAACACTCTTAAAGTACAAAAAACCTTAAGAAATATACACCAAACTTTAATTGAGGCAATATTTGTCGAGGGAGGTAGAATACTGTCAAAACTGATTCTTCAAGTGGTCAAGTGGGAACCAAATTATTGATTCCTGGATTTTTTTCGTCATATTTTTTTTTGCGCAATACTTATTATCTACATTGGAGGTAGATTTTATGCATCTGTAAATTTAGCTGATATCTATATTTCAACAAAATATTAAGAAATTGAGTTTATCATTAAAATATCACAGACTATGCTCCAAATCAAGGTAAAGTGACATTTAAACAATCTTTGTAATTTCTTAAATCTTATTTTGCACTTACTTGATTTGTTCTTGTAAAAATTATTATCAGTTACTATTTCTCAGTTTAAGCAAATGAAAAGCAGAGCTGAAAGAGAGAAATTTGCACCTGGAAAAGTAGCAATACCTGCTAGACAGGAGGGGTACAGATCTTTCCAAATACCAAAGGTTCTGAAAACAAAAGGTTTGACAAATTCATTGAAATATTGTATTTAACTTAACATCACTGATTGAGATATATTATTTTTTTCAGATTATCTAGAATCTGATGACAGCCATATATAATTGTTAAAGAATAATATTCACATCTTTATTCAAAATTAATCGATTGAGTAGTACAATTAAAATATTTCTTGCATGTTGGTTTACTTAGTAATAATCTTTGGTCTGTGAATGATATTTATCAATGTGCCATATAATATCATAGCAATTATATAATTTAACAAATAAAAGTTTGCCTGAATTAGATTTATAAATGTATGCACATTGAAGAAATAAAGTTTGTACTAGTGATTGGGCTTGTCTAAAAAATGCTGGGTCACTCGACAAGTGGGTCAGTGGCCACCCGGGTGGATTACCCAACAGGTGGGTTATCAGCCACCTGGATGGGTTATAGCTATTTTCATAATTCCTAATACATCTGATAAAAATTGACCAAATAATGTTCTGGCTGATTCAATTATGGCTATTTTATACATTCTGGAAAATCTGACAAAAATTGACTGAACAAATATTTGCCAATTCAATAAGTTTGTGATTTAGTAATAATTATATCCGATTCAAAAGTTTTCACTACTGAATCAAAAACTTATCAAATTGGCAAATATTTGATTGATCAATCATATAAGTTTGTGATTTCAGCATAATAATAGATAAAAATTTACATATCATACGTACATATATACATACATCATACATAACTCTTGCATTAACTAGTGGATTATATATTACATCTGCATTACAAAAGTGTCGCCAGAACTACTAGAGTTTATGCGCTAGCTCTATGAAAGTTTTGGACAATATTATTTATATGCGAAAATTATATATAAAAAACATAATAATTGTGTTCTATAGGTGACTTTAACATTATAAATATTGACATGCCTAATATATTAAATTGTTGTTTGAATACTTGCCCAACATGTTTAGTGTATTTGTGCGAAAACAAATTACAATGTAGCCTATATGTATGTAATAGAATTATATGTGTATCTAATTATGCCAAAATTAATAACTTAGCTGGATAAGCAAAAAATAATTCAGTCAATTTTTATCAAGTGTTTCAGGAATAATGAAAATAGCTGTAAAAAAATCATCCGGATGGCAAAGACATAGAATTATAAATGATGATTACTGAAGATTGTAGCTGTTGTCATTATTCCTGAGACATTATATGAAAATTATAGCTATTATTATAATTTCTGGGACACCTGCTTATTACCTAAAATCTTTTTGATCATTCGATAAATTACCTAACTCTTCAGAAACAACATTGCTGTCTTCGAACCTTTAGTTTGGAGACAATGATATAATTTCTAGAAAGTTAGGTGATTTACTGAACGATCAAAAAGATTTCAGGTAATGAGCAGATGTCTCAGAAATTATGATACAGCTGTTTTCATAAATTCTGTAACATCTGGCAAAAAATTGACTGACCGAATATTTGCTGACTCGATAAGTTTTGATTCGGCAGTGATCATTGCTAAAATCACAAACTTATCAAATCGGCAAATATTCAGTTAGTCAATTTTTTGTCAGATGTCACAGAATTTATAAAAACAGCTGTAATAGCTGTAATCGAATGTTTAATTTGCCGATTCGATAAGTTATTGATTTCAATATGATAAGTGTATTGTTTATTATTTATGAAGATAGTTACTAATCGATTTTGTAAATTAAAACTAATGTGAAATATATAAAAGGATGTTCTATAGAATAGGTGGGCAATATAAAAAATAAGCTTTGCTAATGATTAGTAATCATTAATTTTTTAATATTAGAGTTGCAGAGTTGGCGGAGTTTGCCCACCTATTCTATAGAACATCCCATATAAAATACTACAAAGCCTCTTATTTTAACGTTCTAACCAGTTCCATCTCTATTGTAACTTACAAACACCAGTCAGGCTTTTCTTTTTTTCATTAAGGTCTTAAATATTTTATACTATTCAAGCTTAGTAGACGTGGTTTTTTTTACAAGTGGCAGAAATCTTCAACACATTATATATTTGAAATTGTTTAATAATTGCCATGCTGCACCATAAGTAGAAATCGTTTAAGCCTTGTAGCATTTTATCTCGACTATGCCAAATCAATAATCATTTAATTAATTTTTTTTAAAGATGCCTTAGGAATATTGATAATGGCTGTAATTAATATTCTGCTTTATTTCAGATACCCTGTTAATAAAAGCGGTTGACTTGACGGGTAAAAATCTTCAATCTGGTTTGGAACCCTAAATTATTTACAAGTGTCTATAATAATAGCTATAATTCCACAGGTGACCCATCAGGTGACTTGCCAGGTGACCTTCTGGGTAGAAGTTGAAACCGGTTTTACAGCTATTATTATTATTTCCAGGACGCCTGAAGAATTTTCAGATGACCAAAATAACTTCTATTTCATTTGGTAAATTACTTAGCTATCCGGAAATTACATCGATATCTTTAGACTGAAGGTCCGAAGACAGAAATATAGTTCTGAAAAGTTAGATAACTTACCAAATAAAACAGAGAATATTTTGGTTATCTGAAAAATTTTCAGATGTCCCAGAAATAATAATAATAGCTGTAATAATTCGGGTTTATCATGTAAATTTTGTGATATTTTAGAATTTATTAAATTTTAATTGGATTAAATTCTAAAATATCACAAAATTCATGTGATA